TAGAATGCCGTGTTGGTGCAATAGTTAGGCAGTTGTTCTTCCTTAGAATGCCGTGTTGGTGCAATAGTTAGGCAGTTGTTCTTCCTTAGAATGTCGTGATGGTGCAATAGTTAGGCAGTTGTTCTTCCTTAGAATGCCATGGTGGTGCAATAGTTAGGCAGTTGTTCTTCCTTAGAATGCCGTGGTGGTGCAATAGTTAGGCAGTTGTTCTTCCTTAGAATGCCGTGATGGTGCAATAGTTAGGCAGTTGTTCTTCCTTAGAATGCCGTGGTCGCGCAACAGTTAGACAGTTGTAGAATTTCTTGGCTAAGCCAGTCATCGGTACAAGCGACAATGACTAATACGCAATTTATGTCATTACTTTGTGAATAAAACATTGTGAACATTTACATAGGATATCGAGTCACGCGGCAATATCACAAGTAAGAAATCGTAGTACAGACCTACTAATTGACATAAAATATACCGTGACGTATTGAAAATCCCCATGTTGTTTAAGTATTGACAATAAACTACTCGCTGTGACTCTATTCACGTGTTATATACATACACCAGGTGTCGCTAGTGTTGTAACTTAGAGAAATAGATATTAACGATTAAATAGCATTGATTTTCTGAAGAAATCTCACTGCATGTATCATATGTTCATATTTTTAAACATTTTATTTGAAATTTTACTAATATAAAATGTTTTAGTAATTTTTAGATTTTTCTTTAGAAATGATATATTGATTTTTCGCTAGTTAGTGTAAATTGTAAGCAAGTGTTCAATAATCAGTGTAAAATGTTACACAATGTGGACCTAGTTAGTGGTTGTTAATCGGTTTCGTCGATTAGGCTTCATGGAACAGGTGTTCGCTCATCAATGTAATCTGACAGACTGTGTTGATCAATTGTTCGCTGATCAGTGTAATCTGACAGACTGTTGATCAATTGTTCGCTGATCCGTGTAATCTAGTAGACGTTGTGGAGCACGTGTTCGCTGATCAGTGTAATCTGACAGACTGTTGATCAAGTGTTCGCTGATCAGTGTAATCTGACAGACTGTTGATCAATCGTTCGCTGATCCGTGTAATCTAGTAGACGTTGTGGAGCACGTGTTCGCTGATCAGTGTAATCTGACAGACTGTTGATCAAGTGTTCGCTGATCAGTGTAATCTGACAGACTGTTGATCAAGTGTTCGCTGATCAGTGTAATCTGACAGACTGTTGATCAAGTGTTCGCTGATCCGTGTAATCTGACAGACTGTTGATCAAGTGTTCGCTGATCCGTGTAATCTAGTAGACGTTGTGGAGCACGTGTTCGCTGATCAGTGTAATCTGACAGACTGTTGATCAAGTGTTCGCTGATCAGTGTAATCTGACAGACTGTTGATCAAGTGTTCGCTGATCGATGTGATCAGTTAGACTATGATGAGCACGTGTTTGTTTATCAGAGTTGTCGGTTAGACTATGTGGAACGGGTGTTTGCTATTCTGTGTTATCTGTTATGTGGAACAGGTGTTCGCTATTCTCTGTTATCTGTTATGTGGAACAGGTGTTCGCTATTCTGTGTTATCTGTTATGTGGAACAGGTGTTCGCTATTCTGTGTTATCTGTTATGTAGAACGGATGTTCGCTATTCTGTGTTTTCTGTTATGTGGAACAGGTGTTCGCTATTCTGTGTTATCTGTTATGTGGAACTGGTGTTCGCTATTCTGTGTTATCTGTTATGTGGAACAGGTGTTCGCTATTCTGTGTTATCTGTTATGTAGAACGGATGTTCGCTATTCTGTGTTTTCTGTTATGTGGAACAGGTGTTCGCTATTCTGTGTTTTCTGTTATGTGGAACAGGTGTTCGCTATTCTGTGTTATCTGTTATGTAGAACGGATGTTCGCTATTCTGTGTTTTCTGTTATGTGGAACAGGTGTTCGCTATTCTGTGTTATCTGTTATGTGGAACAGGTGTTCGCTATTCTGTGTTATCTGTTATGTGGAACAGGTGTTCTCTATTCTGTGTTAATTGTTATGTGGAACAGGTGTTCCCTATTCTGTGTTTTCTGTTATGTGGAATAGACAATGTTGTGCAGGTGTTCAATAACTGGTCATTCATCCAGGTGACAGTGCGGGTGTGACGTTAGCTTAGATATAATCAGTGAAAGTAGATCAGAGAGCAAGGAGTAACATTAGTTATTTCGGATTGTGGTTAGCAATTCACCAGGACTTCGTTATACATATATCATCATATAAAAGTCTTACAAAAAGATTATCAAATTATTTGAACTAAATTTTTTGTTATGACGTATGAAGAGGAACATCCACATATATACTGTTGTTGAAGAAGGGGACGAATTGACTGCCCTTATTAAATTGACTCATGTCAACTCGTCACCGTTGATACTGTTGTGAATGTAAGTGCTAGTCCTCGGTAAACTCGGTCATGCTAACTCGCCCTAGTGTACATATTTTCAGTCTGGTATAGTGTAATCATACATTACACCTATTGTTCACAGCATATTATAGACTTACTCTGTGTTCACAACAGTAAATTTTCAAAGTACAGTGTACCTGTATGGAATCTTCAGTGCTTGATGCAACCTCGATATTCCAGGGTCTACAATCACTTGCTCTCTACACTCCTTGCAGGAATATTGTCCTGCTTTGAATGTAAATATTTGAAGCACCGGATATACACAACGTTAGTAGGTTAACAAGGCTGAAATTAAACGTCCAGGTCGCTAACACATTCTGCAAGGAACTTTAGTTTAAAGGGCCTTATTGTAAAACTGTTTCGGTTTTACACATCAATCAAACATTCAGACTTTGTTATCTTAACGCAATGATTCAAAAGCTCATGAAAAATTTTGAAAAATCTGAAAACGAGCGATATGCATTTGTTTATAGTGCAATTTTATATATTAATACAAACCTTTTCTCTTATTTTTCTTTTCGGTCAATTTTTTATCACGTTTTTTGGCTAAACATTTAGTTAAGTTATAGTTTAGCTGACCATGCTGGAAAAATGGATACGGAAGTTAAATACTGTCAGCTGATCATAATTAATATATGAAACTACAAACTTGCATTTCACTTTCCAATCGTATGAACATGTGACATATTGTTTAAACTAACAACAAGGTAAATTCACAGACAAGATACTTAGGTATAATTACACATAACCATGTCCTCTCCGTCACGCGTTTTCAATGGTCAACGGTTTTCATTGGCAGTAAAGGTACCGAAACCTTAATTTATGACTTCTAGTTTATCTCTTGTTTTTGTTTCGTTGCCTTTTGCAATCTTTCATTTTCGCTGTTGTTAAATATCAATGATCTCCAATACAATCATAACAGGAAATAAACAGTCGGGCAAAATTTCTATATCATCAGTTGTAGTATATGATATAAGATAAAGGATTGAACACACTTCAGAGGAGGAAATTTTTAAAACGCTGATTTATTCAGCATCTTTATTTTTAGGTAGACAGCAGGCAGCTTTCACGTATTCTTAATATAAAAAAAATTATACAAAAGGCACGGCAGCATGGTCGCAGGGAATTGCTCTATAATAAATTAAAGAAGTGATGATAGTATACTCGTCTCCTGATTACGGATAGGACCAATATAAAAATTACAGTTATGATGAGTGATATATGATACACAATTGTGGGATTTTGTTAGAAGGGGGGTGTTTTTCCGTTTTGTTACTTTGTGTTTTTTTGTGTGTGCCGGATTCCAAACATGAAAAGCTCAGTAAATACTGAGATTGCTTTAGAAATAAATATACATCAAACGAAATACCGTTAACAAACCATAAACTGGTGTCAAGGTTTCGAGTGCATAGTCCATTTTTGGAGTAATTCGCTTTCAGTGACTGTTCCAGGAAACACGTGCAAGAGGAATGGGTGTTCAACATGACCATTCCTTGTTCAGGAGACAACTACAATTTGACAATAAGTTATTACAAATACCTAGGCATTGATGTAAAACTGTAGAAAGTATCATGGGACATTAGCCAATGGAAATCCTGTATTGTTCATTATGTATATCATAAATTATACAATGCCGTGCGCGTTTTTCTATTTATCCATAGCATTGCGATAAATATGTCCCTCGTTTCACACCTATATTGCTTAAGGATTGCAGTTTATTTGACTAATTCATTAAATCCTCTTAAAACAAATTAAGTATCATACAAATGTATATATGTGCATTATTATCACACAATGTTACGATGTCTGCAGTTTCTCTCGTAATTTTGCTTTGTTATGACGTCACCTATGACGTATTCAATTCGAGAGAGTAAGAATAACCACTAACCATTCATCAACTACTCAGAGGTATGTCTAGTATTATGAATACATTCTAGTGTTATGAGACAAAAAAGCAATTGGGAAAAACAAACAAAAAAACCGACAGTTCTATGTCTAACTTTATTTAAATAAATACTTTCCCTTTGAAAATCATTCCAGTTGAAGAAATCATAAAACGCCGTGACAATACTACAACCACAACGATAGACAGGATGCCAAGCATCTCTTTAATATAAAACCAAATGTATTACTGATTGCGTTCTAATATTCACAGATCACGACCTAAGAGAGAGCGAACAAATTTAACTGGTAACCGTAATCAGTTAAAAAGCAGTCATATGATCTCGCCAATTTCATACCAAACCAGCATCACATCGCGTCCTACGATACACTGAATAAATATCAAGTGATAATCTCTCTTTTCTAATATTAAAACACTAAACAAATATTTACTGATAATCTTTCCCATCTAATACTTAAGCACTATCACATCGCGTCCTGTAATACACTGAATTGGCATTTACTGTCTCCTGTCTGAATCCGACAACGTTGCGAATATAACCCGGAAGATACATCGTCCATCCGGTCTAGTAAAAACATGACAATACATATCACGTTGTTTAATTGTTGTGTCTAAGCGATCTGAGGTATGATGGTTCGTGTATCAGCTGTTGACTACTAACTCGATCTACTTTCCTTTACTTTGCAGCAACAAGACTTGATTCAATTCTTATGCTGAACGGGACGTATTTCGAAAATGGAGGCATTCACAAAACTCGGAGTGATGGACATTGATCTGGTAAATAGCATTTTTTATGGTAAACAAAATAATTCATATACCAGTTTATCAATCTTGAGAGTAAGCACTTTCGATTTGATCCCTTTTAATTACCAGTAGTGTTACATCTCTAATGCAGTATAATACATTTGTTGTATCGATATGGATGGTAATCCTCTGATATATAAAATTTACGAAATTTCTTCAATCAAAGTCTCGCATCTTCCGTCGAGATTTGACTTTTCTTTGCCACTTTTGTCCCATCTTTATTCAATTTGAGTTTGGGTTATGATTATATTCACAAATTGGTATTTTCTTGTGTTTTTTTTGGGGGGGGGGAGGGGAATCTTGAAAAGGAAGGCAATATCTCAATTACAGACGTATCTATCCACTCTCACTACTATTAAACTGAATAATTGAAAAGCGTTGCGAGACAGCTGGTTCGAATGTGTCCATTCTGTTCGATTTTTGCAAGTAGTCTCTGCACCCTCATATGCCAGGTTTTATATCTGTAATTGCAGACAGTACGCACAGTATGTACTAGACGTGTTTTAATAATCTAATCTTACAAATTGCGATAGTTGAGAAATTACTGGGTTAGTACAAATCCAAACATATATATTTACATATATTGATTTTCAACACTCAGCTCGCACCTCTGACAGTTGTACGATGCAATTGATTCACTATGGAGACGATTTGTTTTGAAGTTTTAGTTCTGTATTGTAAACTGGCAATTACTTGTGTCAGTTGCATAATCTTTCGAAAAGCGATACCTTGCAAATGTCTTCAAGTCATTGAAATAATAGAGCCTCGTTATTTATTCCATTTGTTTATTGAGTATAGAATTCACTTCAATATTCAATTTATTGTGCGACATTAAGCTGGACGTATTTCATGCTAGTTGGTTTGCCTGTTAGTCCCGTTGTTGTATACTTTGTCCTCATTTGAGAACATGCCATTAATTTCTTAGATTGACCAAGGTGTAAGTGTCGGGTATTTCCAACACTGACTTCTCCATTCTAATACTCGTTTCTTTTGAAATCTGTAATTATACCACACTCTTTCCAGAATTTATCGTTACAACCATTTAGACATTTGTTTTACATACTCACCTCCATCATTTAGTAGGACATCAATGTTTACTATATTGAGGATTACTTCCCTGGTGTCCTCTAGCCCAACTCAGTTTCAATGCATCTGCAAAACCCCTAAATTGACCATTTTTAATCCACTATTTACATAAGCTTGCACACCAGTATTTCTCTTAATGTTCTCTACTTTACTTTTCCACAAGAATTCAAATGTAATGGTCTCAATTTTGTTAGAAGTCTTTTCATCTTGATTTGGTAAATCTATGACGAGGTGATTGAGCTATGAAATCAAAAGGGATTTGATCATGTGTATTTGTCCTATTGGTGTAAGATTTCTTCTTTTCCAAGTATTCATAACTGCTCTTAGTTTTACTATATTCTTGTCATAATTAATTTTTGGCATAACATGAAGATTGACGTTAAATTCTATCCCAAGGAGATTTAATCTTTCCCGCCCCAGCTGCAGAATCAATTCTGGCATAAACGTTTTCATGGTTATATCTCTTAGTCCTTATCCATATGATCCGAGTCTTATCAATGTTTAGATCAAGTCTAAAGATGCTTGCATAAGTATTTAGTTCTTTCAAAGATTCAGATAATGACTGTTCATACCAGTCCAATCTAACATGAAAAGGGTGTCATCGGCATATTGAGACAAAAGGATATGAAGCTCATCTGCTTTAATACCATTAATTTATTTTATTGTCATTTCGTACTCTGATAGCTAACACTTTAGCATAGATGATAAAATATATGGTGCGATCGGGTCGCCTTGTCTACAACCTCATTTTATATCGAAAAAAAGTAGATATATTGCCTCCCTGATTGATTGCAGCGGATATATTCTTATGTAGAGTTTTAATCAAGAAATGATATCATATTTAAATTCAAAATAAATAAAAAAAACTTCGAGACTGAATCAAATGCTTTTTCAATCTCTTCCATATAAAATCATACCTGGTATATCATGTTCTTCTATTTATTACAGCAAGTCATATAGTAGCCTTGTGTTTTCTCCGATTTACTGCCGCGATACAAATCCTGTTTGGTCCTTATTAATTCATTTGTATAATACTACTGCTATTCTACTAGAGATTACTCCGGATGCTAATTTGTATGTAATATTTAGTAGAGAGATTGGACGCCAGTTTTTCAGAAAGTGTTTTGGTTTGTTCCCTTTATGTGCACAGGTGATTATAGCTTGTCTCTGAGTAACTGATAACTCCCCTTGTAAATACCACGAATTTAGAGACCATACCACAAAACTATCCAGTTGATTCCAGAAAAAATTGAAAAGTTCTACGATGAAACCATCTGATCCAGGACTTCTTCCAGTGAAATTAAACCTTTTTTTAAATGATTATGCAATAGTAAGTTTTGGTATGTTGTTGAAATTAAGAGTCTTCAAAGTTCACAACTGCTACATGGAAAATTATATTTAACCAGAAATATCGCTTCCAGTATATACAGACGATTTCATATAGAAATGAATATGTACATTCCCTTTCACTGTAAAATAACATATTTTTTCTGTTTATTAGTGTTCATGTGCCAGTTTTTTTCAAACTCTGACAAATTTTCTTTATTGGGAGTTTACAAGTGGAAACAATGATATAAGTTCTAATGGCATAAGGAGTACACATAAGGTTTGAAAATATCTTATTTTATCTTTCGAGATTAATAAGCCCTATGACAGAATGATCATTATCTTTGTGTCCAACGACTCTTTTCCTTATAATTACCATTCAAAGGTACTATTATTATTTTTGATAGAATTATAATAATAATATAATATAATAATATTTCAATTTTAAAAGTTTTTCATTCTCAATTTTGATTTACACTGACAACTTCCTGTTTTTAATGTTTCATATATAGTTTTGACCTTGTGATTTTGCGGAATACACAGGGAAACAAAACATACGGAAGTAGATATTTTCATATATATAAGCGGTCTTGAGAAGCTAAAACCCTAAATACGTACCGACTTTGCTAGGCGCCATGGCTTTCTGCTGTGAGGTAGGTGCATAATCTGCGGCGTTTGTTTTCATCGATTTTATCATAGCAAGGGCATAATTACAGATATAGTTTGCGATATGTTTAGAATTGAATTATACATGATATTTCTGTTATATTTTCAGTCCCCAAATGAATATAAAAACGACTTTTTTTCGATGACGTCGAGCTCATCACTTGAATCCGGATATGAAAGTGTGCGACAAACAACAAACTCAACAAACTCATCGTTAGATCATTCAACTGATTTTGACTCAATGTCTTCGGAAGAACAGTTCCCCCAAACCAGTGATGAGGCCTGCTGTGTATCTGACATCAGTAATGTCAGGATTGAACACACTGATGAAAGTACGAAATTGCGTCAGATCGGAAACAAATGCTGTAAACGAAAGCTTACTGTTACAACGAAGCAAGTGGTAAGGTTTGTTTCCGAATCGTGCAACATAATTGTTTACAACATAAATCATTGATAAAAGAGATGAAAAAACAACAATAGTATACCACCCTATCAACATAAAGAAAACATCCTAATTCTGTAAAACAAGGTAACATATGAAAAAATGACAAATTTACACGGAAAAGTACAAGTAGAATTAATCGTCTTATGATTCGTCGACGCCATCCGCCATATTAACGTTTGCCAATCCAAGTAAGTAATGTCACGTACTCAAATGAGAACTATATATACAACAACATAACCAACAGGCAAACTAACGATCATTAAATACTTCCACCTTCATACCGCACAAAGAAATTTCTCAATCTTATCATTATGACGACCGTTAAACATCCCTATAATTTTCACCAACCTGCATCTTTGGAAACCCTGTGTTACGAGGAAAATCTGCGATATTCACGAAAAATGAAAATTTCTCATTAAATTTTCTACGACAACATATATGTTTATATATTGACATAGGATCGCATGGAACCTGCCATTGAAGATCATAAATCAATGCCTAGTCCCACCAAGCTCATGAAAACCTTACCGATACAGGAGTCTTGCCGTGAACAAAAACCTTGCTCTCATGACGAAAACAGATGCGACAGTATTGATACAGTTGAAGAGAGAGCGCCTTCATTCGACGAATTAGATTTACCCGACGGCGTAAGGAGACTAAATTGTGCTTATTATGACAACATCGTCAGGGAAGAAACACGTAGTGAGCGTAAGGTAAGATACGTTCTTGGTGGAGTTATGTATATATATTTAAATTTACTTTGATTTCTAATATGTTTACACCAAAGCAAATATGGAATAGAATGTATAATTCGGCTTAATATTGTAACTTTTGTAAGTTTACGACGTGCCACCCTATGCCTGTCTTAATGCTTGTTTTAGTACTTTCACTGTACTTTCATTTATCGACAACATGGTTCTTCATTGTCAGTGTTACCAAAAACGCTTGCCTACAACACAGACGTCCCAGATAAAACGGAAGAACTCGAATAAAGGATGGCTCCAGATTGATTCACAACCAGATGGTCATTTTATATCAGAGTGTTCACAAGAGTTCCCGTATTTTAAGTGAGTTTTCTTCTAAAACTACTTCATTAACGTTTTCAAAGTGTGTTTACAAAGTTGAGCTATATTTGAAGCCTGTCAACATGATTTAAAGGAGGAAGAATAAGGATACTTTGTACATTGTACCTACTTGACTGACGCAACAAGTCCCTGTCGGGTCAAAGTTTATCTGTATATGATGGACCATAAAAACATTCAATTTAATCTAAATGCGGACAATAACAGTGGTTGAATATGCTGTCTAATTGATCGAGACACGTGTTAAATTCATATAAATCAACATTTTAGATATTTCTAATTTATATATGTCTAGTTATTTCATCGTGTGATATTTTTATACGAGTTGAGATGTAATTGGAATTCGCGGTCAGTTTGAACCTGTACACTATTTAGTGTATTGCTGAGTAAAGTGAAAAAAATAATTACCAAGATGTCAACATAATTATAATCTTAACTTAAATTCAATAAAACTAGGAAATACCAATCTGTCACCATAATCATAATCCTAACACAATTCAATAAAACTAGGAAATACCAACATGTCAACATAATCATAATCCTAACACAATTCAATAAAACTAGGAAATACCAACCTGTCAACATAATCATAATCGTAACACAATTCAATAAAACTAGGAAATACCAACCTGTCAACATAATCATAATCCTAACACAAATTCAATAAAACTAGGAAATACCAACCTGTCAACAAAATTATAATCTTAGCTTAAATTCAATAAAACTAGGAAATACCAACCTGTCAACATAATCATAATCCTAACACAAATTCAATAAAACTAGGAAATACCAACCTGTCAACATAATCATAATCCTAACACAATTCAATAAAACTAGGAAATACCAACCTGTCAACATAATCATAATCCTAACACAATTCAATAAAACTAGGAAATACCAACCTGTCAACATAATCATAATCCTAACACAATTCAATAAAACTAGGAAATACCAACCTGTCAACATAATCATAATCCTAACACAATTCAATAAAACTAGGAAATACCAACCTGTCAACATAATCATAATCCTAACACAATTCAATAAAACTAGGAAATACCAACCTGTCAACATAATCATAATCCTAACACAATTCAATAAAACTAGGAAATACCAACATGTCAACATAATCATAATCCTAACACAATTCAATAAAACTAGAGCAAAATATAAACAAAAAATACTGACACTGAGACTCTTGAAAACGTACAAGGAAAATAAGACATGTGTTGCTGGAGAGCTTAATCGGCGATACCACCGTGTGAATCTTGTTCAGCCTTCGCACGTAATTTCACGTTCTTAAGTGAGAAAAAAGGTATACGACACCGGAACCAACAGGCGTAATCAACATAAATAGATCGCTTTACTACTTATCATTTACTTTTTCAGGTCTGGTGATCGCTTAATAAGCGTCAACGAGACTGATACAGGCAACCTACATCATCAGGAAGTAGTCAGATTATTGTATAACTTTATACAGATGGACACGAATCAATCAATGGTAAATGTCTACTTCATATGCAACATAAAAATATGTGCACTATAGTAAATTTATTACGATAGATCGTGATCGCTTGTTAACGAACTATTTATTAATCAATTCATATGTATATATATATTTCAATTTTAATTAACTCTTCGTTGATTTTGACATTTCATTTTGTTTACAGTTATCTACTTTTTTCAAATATATTTGTGCCAATGTTTGGTTTACTTTTCCACGTGATTCTCCATTTATTGACAATTTTGGAATAATCTGCCTGGTTTTGATATTAATTTTAACAACTAACTAACAACTAAGTTTCAGAATATATGTAAAATGTATGTTAGATTTGTTCAGTTCATTGATTAGGATGTTTTTTGTTTGCATTAGTAAGAGTTAGTCATATTTCTCCTCAAACCAATTTAGTTTCGTATAGCTGGTTGTTTCCATGGAGATAATCGTGAAAGTTTCATCCGTGAATAAATGACTCACATGTGAAATTGATGTCTTTCACATCAAAATCGCGAAATGTTGATTCCGTAATATGATAATGCGTTAGTTTTAAAAGAAAATTTTGGAAGATTTTGACTCGAGATAATTACAAACTGCATGTCCACGGATGACCGAATGCATTGTGTTAGCGCTATTGACTTTCACCTAGACATCCAGGGTTCGATTCCCTGATCACACGTGGAAAAACTTCGCTGGGTACCCACATGTACTCCCACAGTAAGACAGCGCTTCAGTGCGGGCCAACAACAGTGATTATAAGTTGGAAAACTTGTTTTGCAATTGTTAAAAAATAAATCAAGCTTCCGGTTGTATCTATATTGTTCTGTATCTGTAGATGATAGAGATACATCGACATCATGAAGAGGATGATGAAACGTTTGAGATTCTAACATTTGAAGTCAAGATAGAACTCCTTGAAGAAGATGGTGAGTACATATTTTCATATTTAGACCGATTACAAAAGATTAATCATTGTTTGAAATGATCTGTATTTCCTTCTAGAATTGATATAGCAATATAAACAGAAAACTCGATACGAAAGAATGATTCTAATATCACAAATATTTTGCCTTTATTGGAAAGAAAATTTATTTCGTTTTTAATTTACAGATATATTACATAAATATTTACTATTATTTTATGACTATTTCATTTTCAAATTTAGTAGTGTAATTAATAAACAAATAACACAAAAGAAATTTGATACAGAAATATACTTTAAAATTATATATTTTGGTTGGGTTCAAATTATTTGGTTATACAAAGACTTTGGATTTTAATTGGCGCTTGGTTTTGTATAAAGATCACAGTCTAGTGATAATTTCTCCTTTAATCCACGTCAATTTTCGTCTGCTCCTCATGTTGCTAACATGGAAAACACAAGATTTTACAGTATATCCTAAAGTACATTAAATGGGTCTGATATAGATCTATTACAAGCATTTATTATTTGATGTAAATGTATCTCTTCCTTGAATAACATATTCAATATACAGCAATATGCAGGAAATTTGATCCGGAAAAGGCCTCCTCCATTTAAATCATTAAATAAACCAAAAAATCATCACTCTTTATAAATGTATTTATTACGGTATAATTTTGAAATGATAAGATGTATCTGCTATAAATGATGAATTATTTATTTATAAGTGTTGGGCATAAATATGATATATTAATGCGTGTTTTCTATCATGTATGCAACATTACTTATATATACTTGCGGCGATCACATATACGCTCAGTGGCTACATTGTACAACATACCGAGATTTATATAAAACATTTTTGATGCTATATTAGTTTATACCTTTGTATCTCTTCTGTATCATAAATGTGATGTAATTTATGCAATATTTGCGTCTTGATAAAGTGGTCGATTGCCTCGAAAATTTGATAATTCACTTATCAGTACTGTCGTTATAAAGTCATTGATCAGATATATTTTCTTTATAGGTGAGAATGGGCAGTCCATAGGTATATCTACCAGATTACTTGCAAGAGTTTTCCGAAGTTTTCGGATAATTTATAACCTGGAATATAATGGAAAGGAGAAGTGTTGGATATCGCACTTCACCAACAGTAGAAAAATGTACCTGTGTCCGAAGGATGGCCAGTCTGGGAGTTTAACTCTGGAAAACTTACCAAGCTTCAACGAACCAAAATGTCAGTATATTTTTTTAATGTTCTTAATGTGACCTACGCACGATAAATGTTCACCTCTCGACAATTCTTTATGTATCGTAAGAAAATATCTACACAGAATGTTAATAGTTTATGTTTGTTAATTTGTAGTCCAGTTCACTAGATGCATATATCACGGCTTTCGAAGGCAAGGGCACAACAATAATGGACTGTATCTAATTACACTCGTGTCCGAAGACACATATAAGTTCATCTCTGTTGGAACGAAAGGCAATGTACAGTTAAAGGTACGTTACGACGTTTTTCTTGTGCTGGGAAATTTTATTGGTATTTGCCGCGAGGGAAAGCAGTCTAAAATATATCTAAACAATCAATGTTAGTCAGAACTGAATGAAAAAACAAGCAAACTGTTATCAATCTTTTGTACTAAAATTTTATGAATATCACTCACAAGTCATGTACTCTATGTGGTACACATAAAATGTGAATACGCAGAAACCAGAAGTCTCATGGTTTTGTCATTATGTTCTAACCTTACAAATTCTCACGTTGAGATCATGCATTTCTAGGATTTTAGGATGAATGTGAATAATACAGAAATCGTCTTCAGTAGTGACATACTTGATCTAATCCTCCTTTTAAAACTTTGTTTCTTGATAATGGTCGTCCGCTCCCTTTGTTTCAATCTCCATCTAAATTGAAACAAACGTTCCCCGATTTTCTTTGTTTAACACTAAAACTAAATTACAGGGAAACGAAGAAGTTGGGCCACACAGGACTTCCATAACGGGTCCACTTCCCCAAATGTTTATCAGCCACCCATTCAAGCAGCGGGAATGTGATTTTTACCTTGAGTCACTTAATCATGAAGGTTTGTATGATAGGCAGTAAAACGTTTCATACATTATATGAATTCTAATGATTAGGACCAACTATGATACGATAAAGCAGCAAAACATCAACATCTCAACATCATCATAACTTACACTTAAAGTCTAGAAAACTAGGGCATAACACAAACAAAAGAAAGCTTTTATGAAGACATTTATGAGAAAACAAGGAGAATGAGACCAGGTGTTCCGGAAAAGTAAGTGTTTATAAGAAGATCAATTATATAAACTCAATATAATTGTTTTAAAATGGCATAGATTCTTATTCATTAGATGATATATACTTATTATGATGAATGATATAAATCAATATGACATGTTGATGAAATGTAATACGTAAGCTAAAATATGATGTCGAGTGTTATCATAATACGTAAATTGAAACACTGGTATGACAGTCAGCGTGAATTATAAAACACAAGATGCATGTATAATAGCAAGGGTGAAATTTGATAGAGATGATTTATAATAAGTAAATTGAAATATGATAGCTAGGATGTAGCTGTCTTTGCAGACACTTGTCCTCGTGTGACCCTGGTTGTTGATGACTCTTGAGACACCCCTCCTTATGTTACCCTGGCTGTGGATATCTCCCTTGACATCTGTTCAAATTTTATACTGGCTGTTAGTGTTCCTTAGATACCGTCTTTAGATGACCCTGGCTTTTGGCATCTCCCTTAGACACTCGCCCTCATGTGACCATAGCACTTATCCTTAGACACCCATCCTAAGATGACCCAGACTGCCGGTGTTTACCTAGGCACTCGCCCTTATATAGCAGTGTTACGGGAACTAGCAAAATTATTTTCACACATGTAAAATGTAGTCAGAATCGTTTCATTTTAAAATTGCCAAAAATCCAGTACCGAAACTTTGATTTGATATATGTTGTTTGTATTGAAATATGACGTCATGTTATTTATTTTTTTATTCTGACCTACATATAAACAGGTGAATATCTATTACATTATATTGAGAAAATACTAACATAACATATTCTTTGATGGTGTATTTTTAGCAATGTAAATAACTTGCTGAAATATTGGCCAAGAGATTGTTGCCTTTGCTTGAGCAATTGTCAGTTGTTTTACCATCAGTGTAAACGATTCAATGCAGGTTGGTTCCTGCGATGGAATACTAGAGAGACAACCATGGATATTAAAAGAGTGGAGGATGTCAAAAATCTACGAGGAGGACAATCAGATCTCCTGTTTTCTATTTATACGTTAAGTGACTTGCACTGAATACACTATCCCAATAGCTCCATGTTCTGTAAGTTGGAATGTTAAGTCGTGAATTGAAGTGTTAAGTCATAGCCGTGGAGGAAAACGTTCTGCAGCTATTTTTGTTCATGGCAGGACGTGACAACATTAAATCTAGACATTATGTTCCTCGATCTGTCTGCCGTTCCTTCGTCTGACAGGATATATAATCTACCCAGATCTATGACGACTTACTGACTCGTCGATCAGTGGCAGTATTACAAATATTAGATTAGCCGTCATTAGCCTTGTAATATGGCTGTCATAGAATTATTTTGTCGCCGTCGTTCAAGTGGTTGTTTTCATGACTTATTTTTGTAATGAAATACGACAGACTTATTCAAAGTAATACCATCTCAGATTTTAATTATGTTTCAATTGATCTGAAACCGTTTTACTGTTCAGTGCACGGAATGGAAATTTAAAAAGTTTTACCCACGTTTTGTTTTAGGATTTTCAGTAAAAATAATCTATGAAAGTTAAACTTTCATTAAATGAAACTGAAATTGCATTTATGAAGACAAAGTAATTTTCTACAATGATTTAATGGAAAGATGAAATTATAATTAAACAGAAAATGACTTACGGTTTATTTCAAACATCGCATTGTTGTTATTGTGTTGATACAACTGATACAGTATGTGTAAAGTCAGCTTTGTTTCTCAATCTATTGAAATAATTATACTTACGTAACTTATTTGATATTTTTCATCAACTTGAGTATTTATCAACCTCAAATGTAGATCTTTTGAAACCTTCTATTTGTGCATTTGTCAAAATTGATTTTCATTGAAAACTTCTTATAAAAAATGATATTTATACTACATGTATATGTGTGTTTGTTCATTAAATGAATTGTGTGGTTCGTGAAAATGAAATAAAAAATGTATTGTGTGGTTCATGAAAATGAAATTAATTATTTTACCTATAACTTGCACAAGTTGAATATGTACACACAAAAGCAAGGATGGATAAGTTTTACTGAAATATATTGGATATAGATTGTAGAGTATGCTAAGTTAATGAAATTCGATGGTCGTAAGACAATCTACGATTGGCTGCATATGGTGATTATTAAAGACCATATTGTAACCGACACAACATTTTTATTTTCTTAAATAAAGCTTTTTAATTACTGTTTTATCAATGTCGTTTACAGCGAAACTTCGAAAATACCGACACAACATTTTTATTTTCTTAAATAAAGCTTTTTAATTACTGTTTTATCAATGTCGTTTACAGCGAAACTTCGAAAATTCCCTCGTCACAGTCCCACCTTGTATGCCTTGTGTGTGTGGTTTTCTTTTAGATAATCATATTGCATGTTTGAAATTATCATATTTTAAATTTACTGCATCCATGGTAACACACAGTAGTCTCGTTCTTTCATTTACAATTTTTAAGTCAAGCACTATGAAAGCGTGACCGATGTGGTGTTTATAGCGAACTGTCACAGAAGTTGAATATGTACACACAAAAGCAAGGATGGATAAGTTTTACTGAAATATATTGGATATAGATTGTAGAGTATGCTAAGTTAATGAAATTCGATGGTCGTAAGACAATCTACGATTGGCTGCATATGGTGATTATTAAAGACCATATTGTAACCGACACAACATTTTTATTTTCTTAAATAAAGCTTTTTAATTACTGTTTTATCAATGTCGTTTACAGCGAAACTTCGAAAATACCGACACAACATTTTTATTTTCTTAAATAAAGCTTTTTAATTACTGTTTTATCAATGTCGTTTACAGCGAAACTTCGAAAATTCCCTCGTCACAGTCCCACCTTGTATGCCTTGTGTGTGTGGTTTTCTTTTAGATAATCATATTGCATGTTTGAAATTATCATATTTTAAATTTACTGCATCCATGGTAACCCACAGTAGTCTCGTTCTTTCATTTACAATTTTTAAGTCAAGCACTATGAAAGCGTGACCGATGTGGTGTTTATAGCGAACTGTCACAGAAATTGTATCGGAGTTTCGCTGTGTATGGATGTCCGATTTCAAGCTGGTTTCAATATTCTTTAACTAATAAATCACTATCGAATTCTGTTCAAGATGCAGTTAAATCCGTGTGTACATATAATTGATTGATATACATAGCATTATTCAATTTATTTTATTTTTTTACTGGAAATATGAATGAATGTGGTTGTGAGACAATAACACGTCTTCCTACGTAGTAATAACAGAAGGTTTGCTGTCTGATCATATTATACCTTCAGTGGTTGACTTCAATCCCCCATGTTCACACGTATTTAGAGTGCATATACAGTATCGTTAATGATCATATATGCAGTCGTTATGGTCACCTATTTACCAATTGTATATTTCATTAGTTACATGTGGGCGTGGGGGTGTGGCAGCCGTTTGTATTTATAAATTGTATATTTTATTACAGTTACATGTGGGCGTGGGGGTGTGGCAGCCGTTTGTATTTATAAATAGTATATTCCATTACAGTTACATGTGGGCGTGGGGGTGTGGCAGCCGTTTGTATTTATAAATTGTATATTCCATTACAGTTACATGTGGGCGCGGGGTGGGCATGCCGTTTGTATTTATAAATTGTATATTTCATTTAAGTTACATGTGGGCGTGGGGGTGGGCAGCCGTTTGTATTTATAAATTGTATATTTCATTTAAGTTACATGTGGGCGGGGGGGGGCATGGGTATATTTCATTTAAGTTACATGTGGGCGTGGGGGTGTGGCAGCATGTGGGCGGGGGTTTGTATTTACAAATTGTATATTGTTATTCGATTACAATTACATGTGCTTCAAAGTCGTTTGTTGCAGTGTCGCAATAGCTGAACGATGTACTTTACTTCGTTTGACATACACTGTAACTAATACTAAAATGCTACTTGTGAGTCTCTTGAAAATTCGCCTGGAAGGTAACTGTTGTATATACTGCTGGTGGACATAGGAATAGTAGCACACTTATACACGTCCTTGACATTCTGAAAAATTATCAAACATTGAAAATTTACGATATTGTGACTGACCGGTAATGTCTATCTCTATCAAATAATGACCTGCTTCAGCTTAGTTAAGATTAGGTCAAGTTTTGAGAGAGACAAAATGTGCGGTAAGAATAGAAAGGAACAGAATTAATATCGATCATTTGATCGGCAGAAATCGCAAATTTGAAAGAAAACTGAAGGATTGTCACCCGGTATTACTTTTTATTACGCTTTTGGTGATGAATTTTGGCTGTAAACGACATACAAATTTAATATCTTAATCTTTCTTAAAGATGTGTAAACGCTTCTTGATAGCTGTTATCCGTCGTGATTGAAGAAAATGATGATGTTTATGTTGTGCCTTGCTGTGTTTTTACCGGAAATGACGTGTCACTGTGTGCACACTTGAGGAAGTTATTTATACAATTAATACAACTGCAGTGTTTTCCACTGTGTCTACAGAAAGACTTGGGTTTATCTAGAAAGTATTAATAATAGAAGTAGAAGCAATTGTATTGTTATGTATAAATATTCATAGTTGTTATGAGAAAGTAAAGTGAAGTGTGAAAACTAGTACTAGTCTGATAAGAATGATAATGTAAATTATGTCTCAATATGTTGGGATGCATTCCCTAATAAAATATTGAATTTCATTATCATCTTCTGGTTTTCTTTATAACTGATGTTTATATTAAGAATAATGACTTGCTCGTGGAGTCATTCTTTAGTCAGATGCTAATGTAGTATTATTTACTAGTCATAATGACTACTTAGTTGTCTGATTATGCTAAATTTGATGACGTTAAAAGGTCAAACCCAGGTCAAAGAAATGTAAAAGTCAGCTCGAGATTAAAGTTTACAAAGAAATGTACTAATGTTCCTGGATTACCTGGAAGCTGTGTAACAGGACATGGACCAAGTCCTGCACTATAAACTTTTAGTGTTGCGTTCATCCATATATGGTGTTTTAACGTGTAAATTCACTCCTATTTTGGTGTACGATTTATGGTACCACCATTTCTGATGTAGATTCTCACCTAAAAGTGTTACTTTACACCGTAAGAGAGAGACTTCACACCAGAATCTCACCTAAAAGTGTTACTTTACACCGTAAGGTGGTGGCTTTACACCAGATTCTCACCAAAAAGTGTTACTTTACATCGTAATGGGTGACTTTACACCAGAATCTCACCTAAAAGTGTTACTTTACATCGTAATGGGTGACTTTACACCAGAGTCTCACCTAAAAGTGTTACTTTACACCGTAAGAGAGTGACTTTACACCAGAATCTCACCTAAAAGTGTTACTTTACACCGTAAGAGAGTGACTTTACACCAGAATCTCACCTAAAAGTGTTACTTTACACCGTAAGGTGGTGACTTTACACCAGAATCTCACCTAAAAGTGTTACTTTACACCGTAAGAGAGAGACTTTACACCAGAATCTCACCTAAAAGTGTTACTTCACGCCGTAAGAGAGTGACTTTACACCAGAATCTCACCTAAAAGTGTTACTTTACACCGTAAGGTGGTGACTTTACACCAGAATCTCACCTAAAAGTGTTACTTTACACTGTAGGAGAGAGACTTTACACCAGAATCTCACCTCAAAGTGTTACTTTACACCGTAAGGTGGTGACTTTACACCAGAATCTCACCTAAAAGTGTTACTTTACACCGTTAGAGGGAGACTTTACACCAGATTCTCACCTAAAAGTGTTTCTTTACACCGTTAGAGAGAGACTTTACACCAGAATCTCACCTAAAAGTGTTACTTTACGCCGTAAGAGAGTGACTTTACACCAGAATCTCACCTAAAATTGTTACTTCACGCCGTAAGAGAGTGACTTTACACCAGAATCTCATCTAAAAGTGTTACTTTACACTGTAGGAAAGAGCCTTTACACCAGAATCTCATCTAAAAGTATTACTTGACACCGTTAGAGAGAGACTTTACACCAGAATCTCAGCTAAAAGTGTTACGGTACACCGTTAGAGAGAGACTTTACACCAGAATCTCACCTAAAAGTGTTACTTTACACCGTAAGGTGGTGACTTTACACCAGAATCTCACCTAAAAGTGTTACTTTACACCGTAAGGTGATAACATTACACCACAATCTCCCCTAAAAGTGTTACTTTACACCGTAAGGTGGTGACTTTACACCAGAATCTCACCTAAAAGTGTTACTTTACACCGTTAGAGAGAGACTTTACACCAGAATCTCACCTAAAAGTGTTACTTTACACCGTAAGAGAGTGACTTTACACCAGAATCTCACCTAAAAGTGTTACTTTACACCGTAAGGTGGTGACTTTACACCAGAATCTCACCTAAAAGTGTTACTTTACACCGTAAGAGAGAGACTTTACACCAGAATCTCACCTAAAAGTGTTACTTTACACCGTTAGAGAGTGACTTTACACCATAATCTCACCTAAAAGTGTTACTTTACACCGTAAGAGTGTGACTTTACACCAGAATCTCACCTAAAAGTGTTACTTTACACCGTAAGAGAGTGACTTTACACCAGAATCTCACCTAAAAGTGTTACTTTACACCGTAAGAGAGTGACTTTACACCAGAATCTCACCTAAAAGTGTTACTTTACACCGTAAGGTGCTGACTTTACACCAGAATCTCACCTAAAAGTGTTACTTTACACTGTAAAAGAGTGACTTTACACCAGAATCTCACCTAAAAGTGTTACTTTACACCGTAAGGTGGTGACTTTACACCAGAATCTTACCTAAAAGTGTTACTTTACACCGTAAGAGAGAGACTTTACACCAGAATCTCACCTAAAAGTGTTACTTTACACCGTAAGAGAGTGACTTTACACCAGAATCTCACCTCGAAGTGTTACTTTACACTGAAGGA